TTCCAAATGAATTTTAGGATTTTTTTTTTTTTTTTTTTGGTGCCAGGGATCGAACTCAGGTCCTTCTGCTTTCAAGGCAGGCGGCAGAACCACTGAGCTAAATCCCCGGCCCAGGATTTTTTTTTAATAATTCTGAGATATGTGGTTGGAATTTTGATTGGGCTGCATTAAATCTGTATAACAATTTTGGAAGTATGGCCATTTTTACTATATTGGTTCTTCCTATCCCAGAACAAGGGATATCTTTCCATTTTCTTTCTTTTTGGTACCAGGGACTGAACTCAGGACCTTGCACTTGTGAGGCAGGTGCGGTGCCACTGAGCTAAACCCCCAGCCCTCTTTCCATTTTCTGATATCCTCTTTGATCTCCTTTTTTCAGAGTACTGTAGTTTTGTGGGGTTTTTTTGGTACTGGGGATCGAACTCTGGTCTTTCTGCTTGCAGGGCAGGTGGCAGAACCACTGAGCTAAATCCCCAGCCCTGTAGTTTTCAATGTAAACATCTTTTACTTCCTTTGTTAGATTGATTCCTAGGTATTTCATTTTTTTGGATGGTATTGTGAAAGGTATTTTTTCCTCAGGTAATTTTTCTCTCTGAGTTTGTTATTCCTATACAAGAAGCTATTGATTTTTGAGTGTTGACTTTGTATCCAGCTATGCTACTGAATTTGGTTATCAAATCTGGAAGTCTTTTGGTGGAGTTTGTGGGGTCTTCCATGTAGAGTATCATGCCATCCACAAATGATAATTTAATTTCTTCCTTTCCTATCCTTATTCCTTTTATTTCTTTCTCTAGTCTAATTGCTCTGGCTAGTTTTTCCAAAACTAAATTGAAAAAGAGTGGTAACAGTGGACACCCTTGTCTTGTTCCTGATTTTAGAGTGAAAGCTTTCAGTTTTTGTCCCTTTAGTATGATGTTGGCTGTTGGTTTGTCATATATGGCTTTTATCAGATTGAGATAAAGACCATATATACCAATTTTCTTCAGGGTTTTTATCATGAATGGGCACTGAACCTTGTCAAATGCTTTTTCTGCATCTATTGAGAGGATCATATGGTTTTTGTCCTTGGCTCTGCTGATACAGTGTATTACATTTATTGATTTGCATATTTTGAACCATCCCTGCATCCCTGGAATGCATCCTACATGGTCAGGGTATATAACCTTCTTGATGATTTGCTGCATTCTGTTTGGCAATATCTTCTTGACGATTTTTGTATCTATGTTCATTACGGAGATTGGTCTGCAGTTCTCTTTTTTGGTTGGATCCTTCTCTGGTTTTGGTATCAGGGTAAGCTTGTTTCTAGGAATGAATTTGGGAGTATTGCTTCCTTTTCAATTTTATTAAAGAATGTGAGAAGTAGCAGCATTAGGTCTTCATTCAAGTTCTTGTGGAATTTAGCAGTGAATCCATCAGGGCCTGGGCTCTTTGTTGGTAGGTTTTTAATTACATCATCAATTTTATTGGCTGATATTGGTATATTTAGAATTTTTATATCTCCTGGATTCAGTTTTGGTAATTCATATGTATCTAGGAATCTGTCAATTTCTTCTACATTTTCCATCATATTAGAATATAGGTTCTTGAAGTAGGTACTGATGATCTGGATTCCTGCAGGGTCTGTTGTGATTTCACCCTTGTCATTCCTAATTTCATGGATTTGAGTCTTTTCTTTCCTCTTTTTGATAAGGTTCGCTAAGGGTTTGTCAATTTTATTTAATATTTCAAAGAACCAACTCTTTGATTCATTGAGTCTTTATATTTCTTTTTGGTCTCCATTGCATTAATTTCTACTCCAATTTTTATAATTTCCTCCCTCGTATGAGCTTTGGACTTGACTTGTTCTTTTTCTAGAAGCTTGGGGTTCAACATAAGGTTGTTTATTGGAGCCCGCTCTGTTATCCTGATGTGTATTCACTGCTATAAATTTCCCTTGTAGGACTGCTTTCATTGTTTCCCATAAGTTCTGGTATGTTGTACTGTCATTATAGAGTAATTGTAGAAACTGATTTCTTTTTTATTTTCATCTGTGACCCACTGGTTGTTCAGGAAGGTGTTATTTAATTTCCATGTGTTTATGAAGTTCTTGTGGTTTCATCACTGATTGGCAATTTCATTGCACTATGGTCTGATAATATGTATAATTTCAATTTCAATTCCTTCGCATTTACTTAAGCATGTTCTATGAGCTAGCATGTGGTCTATTTTGGAGGATGTCCCATGTGCAGCTGAGAAGAATGTGTATTCTGATGTTGTGGGGTGTAACACTGTAGACATCTGTCCAAAGGTCCATTTGTTCAAAAGTTTGGTTCAGTTCTAACATTTCATTGTTGATTTTTGGCCTACTTGATCTATTTGTGATGGTAGGTTACTGAGTTCTCCCATTACAACTGTATTAGTGCATATATGATTTTTCATCTCTGTTAATATGTTTTATATAGTTGGATGCACTGTTATTTGGTGCATATATATTTATGATTGTTATCTCTTCCTCTTGGATTGTTCTCTTGTAAGCAAAAATTCTTATGGTCTTACTATTACAAAAATCAACCAAAAAGCTACGTGTCCTCACCAACATTTCAACTATACTTAACAACGACAATCTTCCAATTAAACTAGGGGACATATTTTGTACACAGAACAAAAGCCAAGACCCTGTTATTTCCTTCCACTTTACACAGAACAAGCTGGGCAAGAAACCCAGTATCAAACACTTGGAAGTGAAGATTTCAGTCTCCCCAATATCCAAGCTAAACTGCAATAGAGTCAACAGCCTCCCTTACCCTGCAAACAGGCTGCACGAACACATGGCATCACAGCTGAGTACAATGAGGGGCAGTTTGGGATCCCTCATGCTTCTCTAGCTGTGACTTCTTGCTATGAACATGATCAATCAAATGGACATAAGGCTACCCCAACTTGGTCCTAGAAGACCAAGAATAATAATACATGGCAGGTACCTGGCAGTTTTCTAGGCAAGAAGAGTTGGTACCTCATGAAATCACTAGGGGACATGGCACACCAAATGCCATATACTTTTGGGTGACATCTGCTCAAATCCAACTGCTCCCTTTTGGTTTCTATACCTTTCAGAAGGACCAAACCTGGAGCTTGTGGCCAAGAAGCACAGTGGTCCTTTTTTGCTAACTGGAAAGAGTTTCAACTCTTCTGACCTTCTAGAGTTACATTACATCAGAACAAAGTACACCAGATGAACTGTGTGTGTGTCAGTGGTCCCCTACCTTACACACAGTACACAAATACCACACTCACACACAATTAGTGTACACATTTACCAAAATGAAATGAGATGAAAGGGTCCAAAAAGTAAACTTGTTTAGTGCATACCAGAAGGCTAAAGTTCATTTGATCTTGGTATTCAAAATACACTCTAAACTCAGGATTAAACTTCTAAAAAGTAATATGTGAACATGAACTGTGAGTGGGGGAGGCATGGAAGTAAGGATGGCTGTCTTTCAAGAATGGACCCTGTGTGGTTCCCAACTTTGGCTGCCTATAGAATCACCTTTACTGTAAAACTCAAGCCATCCACCAATAAATTAAACCACAATCTCTGGGGCCATGCATAGGCACTCTTTTTTTTTTTTTTTAACATGCCCAGGTGACTCCAAAGTACAGCCATGGTTGTGAGCCCACAGGGCAGGACCACTGTACTGTTTACTGAGGAGGACGAGTACTATTCAAATCTCTAAAGTCCCTGAGAAGAGGGAGAAAGTTTTCTTACTAAAAATGGCCTCCTGCTGGTCTCCTACACAGGCTAGGAGAAGCTGCTGACAGGTATCGGGGTACCACAGGAGATGGTCCAAGTCATCCTCGGGTGCTTTTCAGCTGCTGCATGGGAATCCTCAAGGCCTGGCTTTCCAAGGAAAAGACCTCCTGAAGGCAAAGTGAACTCACCAGATAGATGGGCAGGAGAGTAGGGGAGTATGCTGGGCACAACCATACCAAGTACACCTGACAGGCTTTTCCCTGACCTATAGCCAGAGGTTCATGGATGCTCCGGCTGTACAGGCTATCTGGGCACTTAAGAAATCATTTACAGTTCAGTGTCACATTGTAAGTGTACTGCCTATTTCAAAGGGTAAGTTACTGGGACATCCTGGACATTCTCAAAGGTCTCCCATAGCAGGGCTGGCAGCTGTTACTGACTTATGATGTCCCTCTCTCTCTCTACCTGACATCCTCTTGGAACTTATATTGAGATCTGGTTTGGAATGGGGAAAAAGGGAAAGAAGTAGAAATGTTGCTTTTGCAGCAGAATTGTTAATTATTTCACCCTCCACCCCATATTCTAGGAGTTTAAACACAGACCATGCGGAGAGCACCAAGGGGCTGCTGGTATGCACAGGGCAAGACACACATGCAAGAGAAGCAGGAAGGGTGTGAGGTAATCCCCTCATCTTCTTTGGATTAAGGTCATCCTTTCTTTCCTTCCCAAGACTCACAGATGCAGACTGTTTTTCTGCCTGACTTATTTAGTCTGAGTCCATAGTCATTTGAGAGACGAGAGAGAGAGAGAGAGAGAGAGAGAGAGAGAGAGAGAGCATGTGAGAGCACAAAATGGTCCTGAGATGCTTGTTCCAGTACTATATACTCAGAGCTGTCAGCCAATAATCAGAAATTTAAACCATTCAGCATGACCCACTTAACAGTAGTTTCGTCTCTGTATCCCATAGGGAGTAAGAAGCTCCAGGGCTTCAAGAGGCTCATGGCTACTATTCATTGTAGGTCTTATAATTCTTTTAGCTTACTATGCCTGTTGTCTGGTGTGGACTAGCAAAATGAGACTATTTTTCCAGAAATTGAGCTAAAGAAGGGCAGCAGCAGCCTTAAGGTACCATGCAAAAAACAAAACAGTCAAAGGAAGAAGCTGTGGACACAAGCATGATGATGCTGAGTCTGAGATGAGCAGCACATAGAAGAGACAGAAAAGATTTTTCGGCCCATGACCCAAGAGCTCCCTTGAAAGATGAACGTACTTAGCTTCCTCCACTACCTCCACCTCGGCATGAGCGGTGATTGGTGCATTGGAGTGGGCTCCTGTTGGGTCGTCAACATTCAGCTCACCATTGGTTGAACTAACCACCTGAAACAGAAGGACAGGGTGTGACAAGCGCCACGGTGACACAAGCATTCTGTGGGTACAAGAGGAGGTCACTAAGGGAGCTCTCTAGCTTAGGACTGGCCAGGCAGGACCTGGGATGTTTCTTTTCCTGGGTTAAGAGATCCACTGCCCTAATTTAGGGAAAGTTCCCAGCCTCTTACCATGTGAGAACACTAAATTCAAAGGTATAATCACAGAATGATGATTCTATCTTCCATATTGAGGGGTACTCTGTGTAAGGCATTCTGCTACATTGTATATGTGTGTAAAAATTTAATCCTCACAAAAACACTATGAGTTACTTTCTTTTTATGGATGGAAATGCTAAGAAATGACTCAAGCAAGGGTTAAATTAAGGTCTATGAACTTCCATGAGGGAAACTTTGCCTAAAGAGATTTTTTTCATGTTGCAAAAATGCACTCAGTACTTTATTGAATTAAAAGTAACTGCAAGGCCAATTTCTAAAGGTAAAATCACTTTGCTCCTTTGAATACAGTGGGGAAATTCTACTCAGTTTATTATGCTGTAAGTATATGGACTCAGTAATGACAGCTTAAAAAAAAAAAAACAACTCTGAAAGCCGGGCAGGGTACACACTCCTGTGATTTCAGGACTGTGGAGGTTCCAGGAGGATAACAAATTTGAGTTCAGCCCGGGCAACTTAGAGAGACCCTATCTCAAAATAAAATAAAGGCCTGGAGATGTAGCTCATGTAAAGGCTCTGGGTCAATCCTCAGAACTGGGGGGAAAAAATCTGAAAAAGGAAACAAAGATGCTGTACATCAAAAAATATAAACAATCACATTTTCCTTCAGAAGTGTCTCTGACCACTGACATTACTCAAATAACAAGACTACCACATCCTTTCTGGTGAGAGGGAAAATGGTAAGGAAACATTTCTCTTTGGAAAACCAGTTTTATTTCAACGACCTTTATTTTAGGTTCATTATCATCCCACTTCTCAATGATGGTCCCCGAATTGTAAGTGGAGGCTCTCACTCCTGTCATCTGGTTAATGTGGCCCTGGTCAGGCTTCTCTTGCTTGTATAGCTGCTTCAGCCACCTGGTTTCATTTCCAGTACATGATTCCTGATTTATGTGGGTGCTGGGAAGTGGGCAAAGAGACCCTGCTGGACAAACCACTCTGCTGTTAAAGACCTTGGCTGAAACATGGGAGAGAACCATAAAATAGGATAAAAGGTTCAAAAATGATATCCTTGGGTAAGTAACTTCTATTTGAGACTGTTCTTACAGGTTTTGAGAATTACACAAGAAATGTATGAGTTGGGCACATAGAACATGCCTATAACCCCAGCTGAGGCAGGGGGAGGCGAGGATCCCAAGTTTGAGCCCAGCCTGGGCAACTTAGTGAGATCCTGTCTCAAAATTAAAAGGGCTGGCCAGGGATTTAGCTCAGTGGTTCCGCCGCCTGCCTCGCAAGCACAAGGACCCAAGTTCGATCCCTGGTACAAAAAAAAAAAAAAAAAATTAAAAGGGCTGGATGGGCCAGGGATTTAGCTCAGTGGTGCCGTGCCTGCCTCACAAGCACAAGGTCCTGAGTTCAATCCCTGGTACTGGATGGATGGATAGATAGACATAGATAAGTTTAATTAATTAATTAATGGGCTGGAGATGCAGCTCAGTGGTACATTACCCCTGGATTTCATCCTGTTCTATGGGGAAAGCTGGACACAGTAGTGCACACCTGTAATCCCAGCGACTGGGGAAGCTGAGGCAGAAAGATTGCAATTCAAGTCTAGCCTGGGCAGTTTAGTGAGAGCCTATCTCAAAATAAAAAGGGCTAGAGATATAGCTCAGTTTTAAGGCCCTTGGTCCAACCTCCAGCACACAGACACACACACACACACACACAAAAGAAATTGGCAAAACCCAGTAAAATAAAAAAGTTGAGGAGACACGGTTTAGATATCGAGGAACAGAGAAATACCCTAACACTATGATACTGATTTCCTCAGGACATTTGCTTCCTGTGGACACATTCTGACTGCACATTAGTGTTAACACAGGTAAGTTCACTGTGTGAGCACAAGGGTTACAGAAAAAAAACACAGTTAAGTTTTTTAACAATTCAGAAACTAGTTAAGATTTACATAAAAAATTTTTAAAGATTTATACAAAATTTACTTTCAACCCCCTTCCTTTTTTATTTTTTAAGAGGTATTGGTGATTGATCCCAATGCCTTTGAGCGACATCCCAGACCTTTTTAAATTTTTATTTTGAGATAGGATCTCACTAAATTGCCAACATGGGACTCAAACTTGCAATCTTTCTGTACTGGCCTCCTGTGTAGCTGGGATTACATGTGTCTGAAATTGTGCCCAGCAATATACAATTTCTTAGCTTCTATTAACATGAATGAAGCAGAAGTAAGTGTCACCAGTGGGAATTACCTGGTGACTCTGAGTCGTGGTGCCTGTTCCTAGTATTTCACATGTCTCATACCTTCTCATTTCTCCTCCTTATGAATTACTACTCAACCATATGTCCTTAGGCAATCTAAGGAAGAGGTCATCCCCATTTTATAGAACAGACACTAGTATTCCTGAACATCCGGTCTCAAATAACTCAGGCACAGATGGGAATCTTACCACCAGTTCTCTACCCATAAACTTTAAGTGCACCTAAAACATAACTGATGGTCAATGGCTACAACTCTGGGCCTTTAAAGCATTCACATAATTATTTCAAGTTGTAAGCAGTCTGCCAAACCACTGAACTGCTGTCTGGATTTGCAGTGGAACAAACACTAGTGTGATAAAATTGACATCTTCTGTGAGCCTTGTTTTCTAATTCTAAGATAGGGCAAGTAACTTCGGTCCTATCTACCTCATAATTACTTAGTTAAATTCCAAGATGTCTAGGTAAAAGACCTGAAAAAGTATAAAAACCTTATGAATGTAATGAAATCAATCTCAATCTCTCTCTCTCTCCCCCCCTCCATCCCTTGGTTCATGAACTCAATTCTCTCTATGATTGTGGTTGCAAATCAAACTGGACAAGAACCGAATCAAATTTCCCCATAAAGTCAATATTGAACATAACCATTGAGTTTGATTCGGTTCTCATCCGACTCAGGTTGCGACCATAATCATGGAAAGAACTGAGTCCATAAACCAAGGCACCACTGTACACATGTATACATATTTATGCTATGCTGCCCAGGCTGTTCTCCAAGTCATGCATGGACCAAGGCCTCTCACGTAGCTGGAATTACAGATGTGTGCCAGTGTGCTCAGCCTGAATTACTATTCTAAACATAGCACTATTATAATTTTCCTTTTTAATTTTTAGTGTAACGTCATTCAAAAGTAAGATTTCGTGAGAGAGAGGAGGAGGAAATAAAAAAAGAATTACGGTGTGTCATGTATAAGAATTAACTCTCCATGATGAATGAAATTATTATATACTGCAAACGTACTAATTAAAAATTTTTGAAAAAAATAAAGTAAAGGAAAATGCATTAGCTGGGTCTGGTGATGCACACCTATAACCTCAGCACTCTGGGAGACTAAGGCAGGAGGATTCTTTTTGAGCTCAGCCTGGGGAACTGAGTGGCTCAGTGAGACCCTGTCTCAAAATAAAAAGGGCTGGGGATGCAGCTCAGTGTGAAGGTTCTGCAAGTGATTCCCAGTACTGAAAACAAATTTTATTTGCATGCCCAAAATAGGGACATTTATTTTGCTGTAATTAATATTAATCTCACATTGATTTGGCTATATTATACAAAACCAAAGTAATTAATATCTTATATGATTATCTGTGAGAAAGATCAAGGTGCAGTCCTACTTTGACCTTTATTCCTTAATATTGCTAATAACCATTGTAGCAATCTCAAAAATTTGACTTACTAGTCCCATTTTTCAAAATGTCATTATGAGGAAAAATCAGAACTGTGCACCAAGCAAAGACTACTTCACCTAATACATCATTCTTAATTCTTATGCCCTTGCTTGGTCCTAGAGATTTCTATGATATCTCCCTATGTAATTTAACAACCTTACAGAAATCTTTTGGAAAGAGAAAACTATAATGTCTTCTTGAATTTAGACTTTCCACATAGAAAAGATGTAGAAAATACTGGAAGGATGGGAACCAGGGATCTGCCCATTAACTAAGTTGAATGGGAATGTCCATGTGTTTGCTCAGAACAGACTCTTCAATCTGGGCAGTCTACATTCCCTTCGTGGCCATGGTGTCTGCAGGCCATCCAGGTGAGGCCAAGCACTGCATCACACTAACGCTAGAAAGGGAGGTGACTCGGAAATGTCTGGGCCCCTGGTATGCTAGGAAGGAATTACTGATTTAGTCTGCAAAAAAAAAAAGCCTTTTAAGAGATTACAAGGCCGGGGATTTAGCTCAGTGGTTTTGTTGCCTGCTGCGCAAGAGCAAGTACCCGAGTTCGATCCCCGGTATCAAAAAAAAAAAAAAAAAAAAAAAAAGAGTTTACAAAAGTTGGTGCTAAAAACAGTGTAAGCCCAGAGGCAGATGTAAGGAACAGCAGAACTTCACACAATTTAGTATTAGGTAAATGGTACAAGTGTCTGTTCTCTATCCAAGTGCCAAGAAAACTGGCAGAATGTAGTTTACAGAGTAGACAATTTTAATTTGCTATGACTTAAATTAAAAGACAACATCTCCCACTGGACAGACAGTAGGAAACACTATCTAAATGAGCAACCTTGTGTTCTAGCACATCTCTAATAGACTATATTAACAGTACATGCCTGTGAGGTATATTCCTTTTAAAATTGTTGTTTGTGGCTGGGGATTTAGCTCAGTGGTTCTGCCATCTGCCGTGCAAGCGCAAAGTCCTGAGTTCAATTCCCAGTACAAAAAAAAAAAAACAAAAACCTCTAAAATTGTTGTTTAAGCCAGGTGTAGCAGTGCATGCCTATAATCTCAGCTACTCCAGAGGCCAAGGCAGAAGAATAGCAAGTTCAAGTCCCGCTTAGGTAACTTAGTGGGATTGTCTCAAAATAAAAAAAAAATTAAAAAAAGGGCTAGGAATGTAAGCTCAGCATTCCCTGGGTTGAGTCTGGAGCACCAGAAAAAAAAAAAAAGTTATCTTTTTTTTTTTCTAGTTATAAAACATGTTTATTATTTTTAAAAAGTATATTAGAAAAGACAAACAACATAAAAAGTACAAGTTTCCAGTAGCACCAGAACATGAAAATTAACAGTGGGATCAGGGCATGTGCTCAAGAGCCGGGGCTGGCAAAGTGTTCCAGGAAGGGCCAAATAGGAAGCATTTTAGAATCTGAGAGGTGGATAATTTCTGTTCAAACCACTCAACCCTGACAGTACAGTAGAAAAGCAGCCATAGATAGTACATAAAGAAATAAGCGTGGTTATTTTCTAGCAAGACTTTATTTACACAAATAAGCTGAGAGTGAGATGTTACCCCCTGGCCTTGTTTGTTGACCCCTATTCTACATTAGTTCCCTTCTCTGTTTGCATGAAGAGTGTGTGTGTGTGCATGTGTGTGTGTATTCTCAAATACGTACATATGAAAATAAAAATGGTCCAAGTTTTATATACTGCTCTGCAACTTGCCTTTTTCATAATATATATATTTTTTGATACCAGGGATTGAACTTGGAACCTTGCACTTGTGAGGCAGGTGCTGAAACCACTGAACTAAATCCCCAGCCCTTTCATAACATATCTTGAACACTTTCCCATAACCCCCAGAGATCTCTTTCAACTATACAGCATTATTGTGTTAGTTAATGTTCAGCTAATAAACATTTAGTTCCCTTTGATTTCTAGCATTATAAAGAAGCTGGCAATAAACATTCTAGAACTGTACTGTCCACCACGTGGCTACTACACGCCTGACACAGGACTAATACACCCAAGATGCTGTGAAGTATCAAACACACATTGTATTTCAAAGATGTAGTAAAAGGCCTCAACATTTTTATATGACTATATGTTGAAATATTTGAGATATACAATACTAGGTTGAATAAAATGTTACTAAAATTAGTTTTACCTGTTTCTTTTTAATGTGGCTACTATGAAATTTAAAACTACATTCAGGCACTGCCTGCCTCGCAAGCTAAGGACCCAAGTTCGATCTCCGCAACAACAACAACAACAACAACAACAAAAAACTACATTCAGGGCCGGAGATTTAGCTCAGTGGTTTCGCTGCCTGCTGCGCAAGCACAAGGACCCAAGTTCGATCCCCGGCACAAAAAAAAAAAACCAAAAAAAAAAAAACCTACATTCATTTTCTCCCCTCTCTCTTTCTGTGGCATTGGGGATTGAATTTGGGGGCTTGCACGTGCCAGGCAACTGTTCTGCCACTGAGCTACAGCCCCATCTGTTTAAGTTTTGAGACAGGGTCTCAATGAGTTGTTGCCCAGGCCTTGAACTCATGATCCTCCTGTTTCAGCCTCCCAAGTATCTGGGGTTACAGGCACATACCCCTGCACCTAGCACGGCATTAGTGGGCTTTGAGAAATGTTGATCTGAAACTGTATTTGCTGGCTCAAATTTAAGATTTTAACAGATGATGTTGCATTACTCTCCAAAATAGCTGTAATTCATATTCAATAATAGTGGGTGTATAAATTTTTGCCAATATAATAGGTAAAACTGATATATGTATTTTTAATTGCTAGGTTTTATTTTTATCAGTTATATCAGTAAAGAATCATATATTTCTACAAAGACTGTTAGGAAAATGAGTATTCTCTTTTTCCTACTTTACCATTTCTCCTCCTTTTTGGTACCAGATATTGAACTTGGGTCCTTGTGCTTGCGCAGCAGGTGGCGAAACCACTGAGCTAAATCCCTGGCCCCATTTCTCCTCTTTTATAGCTGATTTCTTTGCTTCTTTGTAATTCCTTACCTTTTTTTTTTTTTTTTTGTATCCAAATGCTTTTTCTGTTCATTCTCTTAAAAAAAAGTGTACCAAAGAAATGTGTTTTGAATCCTTTCATTTTTTTTTGGTTTTTTGAGACAGGGTCTCACTATGTAGCCCAAGTAGGCCTTGAACTTAGTTGTGTAGCCCAGGTTGGCCTCAAACTCGTGGCACTCCTCCTGTCTCAGCCTCCCAAGTGACAGGATTATAGGTGTGTGTCACCACGTCCAGCTATAATTCCTTATCTTTTAACATTCATCTTGATTTTTCATTTTTACACACTATAATCACAATTATATCTTTTTTCGTCTTTCTACTACAGTGTATACAGTAAGTCTGACTCGATCAATTCTTAGTGCTTACATGATGAGTATTAAGGGCTGGTCACAACTGAACTATGGAGTGTAGCATGGTTATCTCTCCTTTTGTGTACAATTTTTAAAATTAGTAATTATATTTTAAAATTTATTCTTTCTTATCTGTTTATACATTAATTGTAAACCACTAATCTCTCCAAAGTCTGTCATTTATTTATTATAGTGAGAGGAATTAGAACCCAGAGCCTTGTGCTCCCGATGAACTAGACTCCCAGTCCTAGCCATTTCCATCGTTTTAAGTTTTTAATTTCTAAGAGCTCTTTGTTTTGGGGGGGTACCAGGGATTGAACTCGGGTCCTTGCGCTTGCGCAGCAGGCAGTGAAACCACTGAGCTAAATCCCCGGCCCTCCAAGAGCTCTTTTTTACAACAAAATATTTCTTAAAAAAAACACACTACCACTGTTGCTTATTTGCTTTGATCTCTTTCTTAGTAAAGGCTTTCCTCAGAAGTCTGATGATAGTTGATTATCTGCTCATTCTAAAAGGGGGGGACGGATTTAGCTCAGTGGCATCGCGCCTGCCTCGTAAGCACAAGGTCCTAAATTCGATCCGTGGTAGCAAAAGGGTGGGGGGCAGAACATGAGTTGGCATTGTGTGAAGGTGGCTGAGACTTGACACTTGTGGACCACACTGTGGTGTAATCTGGCTGGGTCACTTCAGGGGCAAAACCCTGTTGTCAGTATCCCAAGATGTCTTCTTTTGGGCGGTCACATATCCCAGAGCTTACTCTTTCAATCTCTTGCCTAGAAGGTAGAGACCTGGTTAGTGGCTTCGTAAAACACTGAATAGGGAGAATAGGCAGTTAGCAGGCCATTCACTTAATCTCCCCTTTTCCACAAAGTACCTTGGTTCCAATGGTACTCTGTAACCCCCTGACCTATTTTGCCCTCTCCAGAGAACACACCTTTCATCTTTGCTGAAGAGGGATCTATCACTTCTTAAACAGTCTTTTGACCAATTTCTTTATTTGAATACAGGGCCCTCTGCTTCTCCTCCACTCAGAGAAGGCCAACTCCTGGCAACAGTGGCTTTCCTGATAGCCCACCATGCTTCCTCTAGGGTATACCTTTTTATTTTTGGTTTTTTGTTGTTTTTTTTTTTAATTTTTTTTATTTTTGGTTTTTGAGACAGGATCTCACTATGTAGTCCAAGCTGGCCTCGAACTTACTTGTGTAGCCTAGGCTGGCCTCAAACTAGCAGTGATCTTCCTGTCTCAGCTTCCAAAGTGCTGGGATTACAGGTGTGCACCCCCACACCTGGCTCCAGGGTGTACTCTTATCTCGCTTTTTACTGTTTTACTTGGCCCAAGCTTGCTCTGCAGAGCCAGGCACCACCCACATTCTTCACTGCTTTGAGAGAGAGAGAGAGAGAGAGAGAGAGAGAGAGAGAGAGAGAGAGAGGGAGAGAGAGTGCCAGCCAGCTCTTGAGCCTTTTGAGCATTTCCCAGGATTCATTTGATAACTGCCCATTTGCTTTCAACTTCTCTTCTAACACTTTTGATGGTGTTGCTTTCTCTTGTTTTCACCATTCTTAGAAAGACTTATGCTTATAAAAAGATTCCATTACCATTCTTTCAAGAGGGAGTGAAAACAGATTGAACTATGTGTTCAATCCATCATTTTCACCTACATGTTCCTACGCTGTCTTTACAGGGTCAAAGGTATCTCCTAACAGCCTGTGAGTAACAAGTTCTTTCAGAGACTTACTCCATATAAAAGCATATTGAGACACATTTCTATATGCAAAAAGGGTAAACTAGTGTGCCCCAACTGGTAGTATCACTAAGTAGTATGGCAGAAATAGGTTAAGATTTTAAAACCGTCACACATAAGAAAAGTTAAAAAGATATAAGATGCTCTTAATACTGAACAGAGAAAAAAAGATGTTAAGCTAGTCTAAATGAAACCAGAAATAATTTTCCAGGACTACACCTATTCTAGGGAGAAAAAAGAAAATAGCCCAACTTTTGGGTACCCACTCAGAAACAAAACAATTACACCTATCAACATTCTCAGCTTATCATGTGGGAAAGCATGTATCATCCCAGCATGAGCTATATATGTAGTCCTCTTGTCCAGAAAGTACTTATTTTATGTTTCAGGTCTTCACAATTCCAACTTGAGACTAACACATTCCACCTTGATGTGATTTTTGTATTTTACTATGAATGGATCAAGGCTGTAGGGTAAGGTTAATGTAGTATAAGAAATCATCAAGGATATTTTCTAGTTAATGACAAGAAGTAATTATCTCAATAAGGGACTTTTACCAAAGTCCACCTACACAGAAAGCCAGCACACAGACCATCAGTAAACTACTGAAGCAGCTGACGCTTGCTGTCAGTGTCCACAGGAAAGGAACCCAAGTCTCAGAAGCCAGCCAACATTCTACTCGCCAAGCTGGGAGGCTGGGAAAAGGCAGGAAAGGCAGTGAGTACCTGCACTGATCCCCCATGGCGGTCTGCGGCCAAGTGAGACGTCAGGTATGAGGTACTGGTCTGCCGGCTGGGCTGGACTTCCCACTCTCCTCGGCGCTCTGACGATGCCGTCTGCTCAGGCATTAGGAAGCATGAGACCAAGACATGGAAGGAAAGGTGAAGCAACAGCAAGCAATAACAAACTCAAGTACATTAGTGTTTTGCTTTTGTTTTAGATTTTAAACTAACAAATGCTGCAAAGCACTGAGAGAAGTTAGTGTGGCTACATTCATTTCAGCCTAATGAGCCAGTGTCTGATTCTATAGCATGCCATCCTCACCCAGACACAGAAAAACAGTAATGACTGAGGGGAGGGGTGGTAAACCAACCAAACGCTGGAATCACCTTTCAGCTTTCATATTAGTAAAATTTCAGTGGCCACTAAGCAGATCAAATTCAGAATGTGAAGACTATATTGAAGAAAGGGTTATGTTACAAATCATTTCACTCCTCCAAGATCTACCTGAATAGATAGTAGCCAATAAAGAAAATTTCTGCATTACAAATCAAGACAATATGCTCTCAATTTTAATGTCCATGAGATTTTCTATTAAGATAAAAGGAACTGCAGCAGTGGCTGGAATATACTTTCTTATCTAAAAGAATGAAAAAAGTATTCTTTTAAAAGCAGGTTCATATATCAAGAATGGAAAAAGATGGGTGGATAAGCTTGACTGTTCTTTGGTTCTTCTAGCTACCAGCCTCTAGTATCGAATTAGAAAGTTTACTAACTGACAAGACTACTACATAGTACTTTCTTCCTGATAACAAAAGGTAGAGGTTTCCTCATCAGAAGGAGGGCTGCCTTACTTAAATCTCTTTGAGTTCTGCTTTAACCTTTGCAGTCATCCAGGCTCTCTTCATTCTTTTACATCTCATACTACTCTAATCTTGCTCACCTATGACTTTTGTTCTGGAAGTCTCTATTTAGGTGCCTCTTGCCTGGTGCCCTACAGCTGAGGTGTTAACATCATGATGCTCAGCTATAACAGTCCTAAGCATCTACAAAGATGAAAAAGAAGTAGTTGGAGCGGCAGCAATGAGGGATTAATAAATCAAATCTTAACTGCTGCTGAGGTAAACAGCAGCAGGAGTTGGGATGTGATACTGCTGCTCTGCATTAAACTAGTTAGGATCCTATAAATCTTAGAATAAATGTTGTACTGTATAAAGAAGAAAAAGCAATGATTTGAGGCTCTATATTTCGCCCTCCTCCAGAACCTCCCTGGCAAAAGAGCTGCTTAACATTCATCCACAAGTCATCTACCAGGCACTTCCCATAAACCAGCTACAACTTACTGTTTTTAAAAGGCATATGGGTAACAGCACTTTTAGGATCCTAGCCACATTTTCTCTGATAGTCCTTGGGGAATGAGCAAATTCAATAAGAAAGTAGCTGTATTAACTTTCTTGTTATATAATCTTACAAAAGAGGGCTTTCGTTTTATACTACTAGTTGCACTAGAGAATTAAAACTACCTCAAATCTCCCCCTTCTCTCTTCTCCATTATTTCTACCAACAGATGTTAAGATATTTCATTTCCCAAAATAAGACCACAGTGTATAACAAAACCACACCTTATATACTTATTGGCACTGTCTATATCCTCAGAACACTTAATCTCATTTATTCTGATTAGTAGAGACCTGAGAATAAATCTGTTCTAATACTAGAACAGATATCTATAATGCGGAAAAAAATAAGAACCAAGATATATCATGTAAAGCTACAAATTCCCAATGATGAATGTCATCATATTGTATATCTAAAATGTACCAAAAACTTAATGAATAAAAAAATAGTATCTATAACTAATAGCTATTATTGATACCTTTTTCAGTATTTTCTCGTACTTTTTAATATATTCTAATATTTAAACACAATATTTATGCTCCTACACTATTGTACAATACTGCCAGTTCTCCAAAAATTTAAAAGCTTAAAAAAATCCAGACCTCTACAAGCCATTTAGTGTTTTTCTTTTTGAATTGTACAATACATACTCAATGTAATTATTTCTCTTATGAATGGTCTGTTTTCACATTTGTTTTTCATCAAATTTTCAGGTATTTATTGGCCATTTATAACTCTCTTTCGAAAAATGTCTATTCATTTCTGTTACTTTTTTTTTTTGGTACTGGGAATCGAACTTGGGTCCTTGCACTTCCGCAGCAGGCGGCGATGTTACTTATTTTTTGACTGGGTCTTTTATCTTGGGAGCTCTACTTTTTTTCAGTTCTTTATGTATTCTAGATCGGTCGTGGTGAACCTATGGTATGCATGCCATGGTGGGCTGTTTTTATCATTGAAAGCTCTAAAAGGCTCGCCATCACTGTTCTAGATATTAGAGTCTGGTTGAGGAGTAGCTGACAAAAATTTTTTCCCATTCTGTAGGTTGTCTTTTCACTCTGTTGGTTGTTTCCTTTGCTGTGCAGAAGTTTTTTAATTTGATACAATCCTATTTGTTGATTTTCCATATTCTTTCTTTTGAGGTTTTGTTCAGAAAGTCCTTGACTACACCTACATCTTCAAGAGTTTTACATATTTTATCCTCCTGCTGGTTAAGCACTTCTGTTTTAACATTTAGAACTTTGATCCATTTTTATTTTAGTTTAGCCACTGAAAGCAACCAAATATGTGATAGAGGGGAGCCTGAGAGTTGCTGTTTTACTACTTTGGTGAGAGATAGGGGTCTAGAAATCTTCTGTATGAGGATAGCCAGTTTCCCCAGCACCATTTATTAAAGAGGCTTTCTTTTTTCCAGGGTATGTTTTTGGCCTACTTGTCAAAGATGATGGCTGAATATGCCCTGAGCTGTTCCAATGATCCACATGTCTGTTTTTGTGCCAGTACCATGCTGTTTTTATCATTATAGCTTTGTAATATAACTGGAAATCCTGGCCTGTGATGACCCCTGCTTTGCTGTTGTTGTTCAGGATTACTTCTGTGTGTTTATTTTTTAAGACAGAGAAAAATTAAAAACAGCTCAAAATATATATTCATATGCATTCATTTTATGTGTGTAAATGCATGAGTGTGGTGCTTGGGATTGAACCTAGGACCTTGTGCATGCTAAGTAGGTGCTCTATGACTGAGCTTCATCATCAGTCCTTGTATGCTTTTATTTATTTTTATTTTGGGGGCTTTTTTTTGAGACAGGGTTTCTCTATGTAGTTCAGGCTGGCCTTGAACTCACTATGTAGCCTAGGCTGGCCTTACTTGCTGTGATCCTCCTGTCTCAAGACTCCTGAATGCTGGGATTACAGGCATGCACTACCATACCTGGCTTTTTATGCTTTTAAAGTTAAGAAAGAGCTGGGGAAGTGATCAACTATTTCTATTTGTACAGAAATATACATAAGCACTCGAGTTTGATGCTGTCTGATTCATAGGATGATGTGCTTGCTTATATTTTAGCTAAATAATTTGTTGGATGAAATATTTTTGTTTAAATGAAAATAGCAATGCATATTTCAAAGTCCTAAAAGTCACATTCCATTTCCTTCCTCAAAGCAATACACTATTTCTTTTATTAAAGAGAAAAATAATGTTAACTTCCAGATTCATTCATAAATGCTTCCACTGTGACAAAGGAGAGATACACTACACCATGCTATTGCCCTGCAATCCCCTCTATAGCCACTGACAGCAACCAAATAAACAATAGAGGGGAGCCTAGGGACTGCTGTTTTACTAGTTTGAAAACGACTTCTCATTAAAACACTAAACTTTAGGGCTATTCTTTTCTAGAATTTAAGGGCTCAGACTGCTACTGAGTGGATAATGTAGTAAAAAGGGCCCTTTGCCAGTTTTACAAAGCAATGAATGGCTGGAAGCTGGATGAAACCAAGGATGTTTGTTGACAATTACACATTCTGCGGGACTCTGTACACAGGGGTTATAATTAGGCATGGTCAGCATAGTAGCTCATTGGATTAAGTGAGGCAGTGGAGATAAGCATGTGAACCCTCCATTCTTAAAGATCACTCATCCACACACATCTATCTAAAAGGCAACCAAGAGGCCCATGGCTAGAAGAGTCATTCAGCAGCTTAATTTCTCTGCATTACTTGAAAGGCAGAGGTCCACATGGAGTGCTTAAGTCCCCAAAGGCATGAGGAGCAGGAATCTCAAGTAGTGGTACCTCCTTGGGGGAGCGCTTTAAAATCTTCTGTTGTGACTGTACCACCTGTATGGAAATGTTTCATTTACTGTGCAGTAGAGTCATTTTGGAAATAATAAAGCAACAATCCAACAAAAAAAAAATCAAAGGCAAAACTGACAAAAATAAACTAGGAAAAAAATGTAAATCAGCGAAAATCACCACCTGTGCCTACGGCAGAGGAAACAATCACTCCTCATAGTCATTCATTCGGCAGAAACTAGTAAGAATGGGTGGGAAACACTGTCTGAAAACATCTCAGCACTCTTTCCATCTGTGCCTTGAAAAGTATTTCAAAGTCTGGTTTGTTTTTTTTTTGGTACCAGGGATCAAACTTGGTACCTTGTGATTGCGAGGCAGGCGCCAGAACCACTGAGCTAAATCCCCAGCCCTCAAAGTCTTATTGCAGATATGCTGCTCTTCAACAAAAGGCAGGCAAACATCTTTTTCTTCCAACAAGTTGCCAAATCCTATTCTTTTTTGTTTTTTGGAGGTTTTTTTGGTACTGGGGATTGAACTCCAGACCTTGTGCTTGTGAGGCAGGTGGTGGAACCACTGAGCTAATCCTGGGCTAATTCCTATTCTTCATATAAAGATAATTTTAAAAGTATTAACTTTGATTACATTTACAAAGAACTTTATCCATTTCACTTTATGGTTCACAGAATACTTTCTTTTTTTTTGGTACCAGGGATGGAATTCGGGACCTTGTGCTTCCAAAACAGGCAGCGGAACCACTGAGCTAAATCCCCGGCCCTTCACAGAACACTTTAAAAGGTGCTATCTTAAAAAAAAAAAAAGTTCTTGGAGTTGGGTGCGGTTACACATGCCTGTAATTCCAGCACTCTAGGAGGCTGAGGCAGGAGGAGTACAAATTCAAGGCCAGCCTGGGCAACTCAGCAAGACTGT